AGGCTACTTCCACTTTGCCTCGTACACCTTCTTTCCTAATTTTGTCTTCTAGTATGCTCACACATCCATCTAAGCATTCTCATTTATGCTACCTTCATCTTTTGAACTTGCAAGTTCTTGACTAACCAACACTCCACCCCATACCAGTGTTTTGGACGGCGAGAGGCGACAAGTGCCTGCCTCGCCACGCGGCGAGGCGCTCGCCTTTTTGAATTGAGGCGCCAATTAATACCAAAAATTAAAAATATTTAATTGCATATATAAATATCCAAAATCTCAATAGCAATAACATATATTAGCAAATATTTCAATTCAAAAACTAATAGTAGATACTAAAAGTCTAGAACTTTAAAGACCCAATAATTCAAAAGACAATACTAGAACTCTACAAGTCTATTCTTCTTTAAAACTATCCAACTCTTGAAGATCAACATCCTCTACATCATTATATTGCTCCTCATCTTCTTCCTCCCTTCGTATCCTCGTATCTCAAAATCTTTTTTTTTGAGAAGGCAGTTCAGATTTCAGAATTTCAGATTCACTTCACAAGAAATTGAAGTGAAGAAAAGAAAAAAATAAGAGAAGAAGAGGACTGAAGAGAAGAAACAAAGAAAAGAAGAGAACTGAAAAGAAGAAGAAAGAAAAGAGGCCATACCTTTCAATTCACGCGACTGAAGGAGAAGAAGAGATCGCAAGGTTGAGGAGAAGAAACACGACTAACCCCAAGTATGGAAATAGGAAAAAAAACCTAATTTTGACTAATATTATTAAGTCAGATCTTTTTAAAAAATTTAAAACAAAAAGGCGCTGCCATTCAGATCTCCATTACGTCGCCTAATTGATCTTGCCTCGCCATAGCGCCTTTGGCAAATGGCGCTCGCCATTCAGAACACTGCCCCATACAACAGGGTAGTACATTCTTATCACATAAGACACTGATGTGAGCCTCCATTTCATTTATCTCGTTCAAATATAATGTGTGACATCCTTCATCCTTGTCAATCTTCATCTCCTTGAATTATAGACCCAAGATACTTAAAGTCTCCTCTTTTGGGGATGACTTGTGTATCAATCCTCACTTCTCCATCTGCCTCATGTGATGTGACATTGAACTTACACTCTATGTACTCTATTTTAGTCCCACACATCCTGAAGCCTTTAGACTCTAGGGTCTATCTCCATATCTCCAGTTATTGTTAACTTTGTCGCGTGTCTTGTCGATTAATACTATGTCATTTGCAAATAGCATACATCATGGTGCTTCCTCTTGAATATGTCGTGTCAATTCACCTATCACATAGACAATAAAAAAAGGCTGAGAGTTGATCCTTAGTGTAGACCCATCTTGACTGAAAAGTGTTCTTAGTCTTTTCGCACTATCCTCGACAATCTTGATTCTATTGTACATGTCCTTAATCACTTCTAATATGTGTCGTAGTTATAATTCTAGAATTCAATCATCTCTATTAAACCTCCTTCAAAACTATGTCTTATGCCTTTTCTAGGTCGATGAACACCATATATAAGTCAATTTCTTCTCCTTCTACTGCTCCAACAATCTCCTTAAAAGGTAAATGGTATAGCCTCAGCATGAATCAAAATTGGTTCTAATAAAAAATACATTCCTCTTAATTCTAATCTCGACCACCCGCTCCCAAACTTTCATAGTGTGGCTTAGTAGTTTGATACTCATACAATTGTTGCAATTTTGAATATCACTCAAACTTTCATAGTATGGCTTAGTAATTTGATACCTTTATAGTTGTTGCAGTTTTGAGTATCACATTTGTTCTTGTACAATGGGATCACTATACTCCACTTTCATTCTTTGGGCATCTTAAACAACAAAGGTAGTCACTCCAAACCCACCTTGTTTTCCCTCTTCCACAATGCCGCAAGAAATTCATCTAGCCCAATTGTTTTTCCTCGTCTTATATTATGGATTGCCCTCTTAACCAGGGGGGACCCATATGTAAAGGTGGGGGTGCACGTGCACCAGTTAACTTCGGAAAAAATCATGTGTATATATATATATATATCTATCTTGAGAAACTGATAGAAAAAGGAATATAATAAAAAGTGCACCCGTAATGAACATTGAACTTCCCTTGGTCTACTGGTAAGTGAGGAAATACCTCCTTCCAGACCCGGGTTCGATCCTGGTCAACAACTCTTTTTTTAAACTCTTTTTATTACAAAGTCAAGTGTCCATTAAGCATTGAAAATTTTGCTTCGCTTATGCTTAAATATTATTGGTGCACCCAGACTCTTCAAATCCTGGGTTCGCCTCTGCTCTTAACCTTCTCAAATATAATATACCTATAATTTCCAAAATCTTGACTACTCTTGGTGTTCTCTAAATCACTTATTTAAGAGTTTATTGAAGTACTCTGCCATTTTATTTAATGAGGGCCTCTTCCACCTATACATTGTCATCCTTGTCTTTAATGCACCTAATTTGCTCAAGGTCGAGAGTCTTCATCTCTCTCACCTCAGCGAGCCTATACAATTTCATTACCCCACTTTTGTCCTCTGTTCTCCATACAAGTGTTTAATGTTATCGTTTTAACCGTTGTAATCGTCATCCGCGCTTCCTTCTTCACAATCTTATACCTCTCTTTGTTAGTCCTCTTTGCATCTTCATTCTTGTTCTCCACTAACTTCATGTAAGCAACCTTATTGGCTTCCACTTTCCCCTAGACCTCTCCATCCCACCACCTGACCACTTGGGTCCCCTAAAGTTACCTTTCGTGACTCTTAACACCTCTCCAATCGCCTTCCTAATATAATTAGTTGTCCCAGTCCACATATTATTTCCATCCCACTACTCTCCTAGGCCTCCATAACCATTAACTTCTCCCCCAACTCCTTAATTCTTTCCTTAGTCAAGCCCCACTCCCTACTTATCCTTGGTTGGTCGTATAAAGTTCTCTTTTTCCTCTTCCTTTTAATCGCCATATCCATTAGCAAGAGTTTATGCTACATTGTGAGGTTCTCGCTCGGAATAACCTTACAATTCTTACATAAACCTCTATCACTCTTCCTAAGAAGTAGGTAACCGATTTGAGTTTTTGCTACCGTACTAAACCACCCTTATGTTACATGAAAAAAATAAAATTATGTCTAATAATCTTGTAAAGCTTAGAGCTTTACCATTTTCAAGTAACAAACTTCCCAAAAATATGGTGTACATACACAAGGCAAGAGTCGGGACCAATGTAAATCCAAGTTGAAACTAAACCATATTGCCAACTAATATCACCTATATAGATCTTTACTTTCATAGTGTCATATCTTTCATTAGGTTTGCATGGATTCCAAGATATTGTAGGTCTTTCGAGACAACTCTTTTCCATGTAATTTAAGGTCCAAAAATTCTTTTTAACACCATAGTTTCACACCCATAGATTGGTACTTCTAGAGGTCGACGTAGGATAGCAACAAACCATCTCAAGTGATCTTCTCTGGTTTTATGGTGGACTTTAACGGTCCAACATTCACTCACATATAACACTATATTGAACTTACCTTTTCATTTGGTGGGCATCCTTCTATCACATAATACCTCACTAACACTTCTCCATTTCACGGTATAGCAAACACATTATTACCAGTAGGTTGATTTCTTCTCATTAAAACTCCATAAACTATAGAGCTTCCTTCTCGTTAAAAGAAGATACTCCATAGTCCATCCTTGGCACAGAGCAATTTAAAGTTGAAAGAGTGGGAGGAAAAAAGTCCGTACCTTGGATATGGGAACATATCAAGAACATAGAATTTGGGCTTGGAAGTATCAATCTCATCAGGGGTTCGAAATGTCTTATTCTCTTCCCAATAATGTTGCCATTTTGGTTCAATTTCGTGAAACGGATAAGCCCTTTTGACCTTCTCATGTTGCTCATTTGTCTTTTGAGCATCAATTGCTTTAACTAGCAAAGTCACGGTATTTTTGTTAGAACTTTTTGTACAATTGGAGACTCCGAAGCGTTCATGGTTAAAAGATTGACGGCGGAGTATAGGGCTGTGATAGGCAGGGAGTATGAGCGCAGGGCGGAGGATAGGAGGACGAGGGAGGAGATGAGGAGGCAAGTGGTGAAGGTGCGTAGAAGTGTGGAGTGGAATGGGCATTGCTATGAGGAGGGGAGTGAAGGAGTTGCAGTGGTTTGACAAATTTCGAAGGTGGCAATTTGTTGAGAAGAAGAAGATTGGATAATGTAATCATGGGCTTGGGCTGGGCTTACTCTCTTCATAGAGTTTGGACCATAGGAATGTCTTCATTTACACTTCTGTCCCTGTTTTGTGTTTATTCTCAAGGTCAATAACTTTTCACGACATAAATTAATTTTATAAATTTCAAATAAAATAAAAAATATTTGAAATATATTATAAAACCTACATGATGTTGTCACCTTACTATTGGGAACGGTTTGGCCATGAGAATTTTTTATTGTAAAGAAAAGTATTCAATCTTTTTTATTTTTATAAAATGACCTTATTTAAATTATATTTCATACTTTAAAAAAAAAAATTTAAATTTTAAATATTTATTACAAAAAATATGATCAAACACAACTGAACTTTAAAAATTCTAAATAAAGTAAAAAATACTCCCTTCGTTTCTATTTACTTGTAAGATATTTTCTAATTTGATTTTTCTTTTACTTGTTATTTTTGACAAATCAATGAAGGACAATAATTATTCTTCTTATTATACTCTTAATTTATTAATATTGGCTTAATGTCTTTGAAAAATGCAGTGAGTAAAATATGTTTAAGACTATAAAACAAGAAAACTTATTATATCAATCATTATTTTCTTAATAGGTATGTCAAATTAAAATTTGATAAATAAAAAGACAAGGAAGGAAATACATATTCAATCGTTTCTTGTTCCTCAAGAATAAGGGCAAACAAGTCATTTTACTATGTTAATCAAACCCTACTATTGCACTACCTTTTCCCTATATATATAGAGGGAGGGATCTCTTTGCTAGCCCCTTGTGATTCCTCATTATGGGGAAAGAGTAGGGGGCTTAGAAGGAGGGTTTTGAAGCAACTTTTTCTTGGCAAAGAATACACCAAAGATGGATCTAGAATTTGAAGTCAATTTGTACTATTTTATTGGATTGATCTATATCTTTGCATAAAAAGTGTTAATTGGGAGATTTGAATGAAGTTGAGAACAAAAAGGATCAAAAGATCAAGAAAACATGGGTTTGGAAGAATTGGAAGGGCTTATTCTTTCATGGTAAGTACTTAGTGTAAGTGTTATTTGGATATTTTCAAATTTGACTTGCTCTTTGCAAGGTTTGCATTGTGTTTTGGAATTGTTTGTTAATTGGCTATATAGCTTTGGTTCCCAAAAGACAATTGTGTTATATAGGTCTAGTTCTCGTAGAAGTTGCATCTTTACTAATATCGTTGTTGTTTGGATTTGGATTAGTAACGTATTTCGATGCCTCCATATTGTTGGAAAGTTGTTCTCGTCGCTTTCCAACCACTTGCTTGGGTGGTAGAGTTAGTGGGGAGATGTTTCTCAAATAGGATAGGTGGTTAAATTGATAGAAAAAGACTTGTTGTGGGGTGAGTGTTTGGAACGTTCGGATTGAATATGAAAATTTTGATTCACGTATTGAAGAAATTACAATCCAAATAAGATTTTAATGGATTGGATTTTTAAATTTCGATTTTGGATTGATCGATTTGGATGTTTTGAATATAACTTTTGAGCCTTTAAGTTCGTTCATAACAATCAACTATCCCAATTCACCTAATACTTTGCTTTTTAATTGTGATCACTCTATAGATCATGTCATGTAATCAGAGAGGGAGTCAGGATTAGGAGTTTGAGGTTCTAAATTTTAGTATAGAAGAGGAGTTTGGGGATCTAGATCTTAGGATAGAAGAAAGGAGTTTGGAGAATCTAAATTATTGGACAAAAGAGATGGTGCTTCATTTTTAAATAAAGAGAAACTTTTGTTGATAGTGTCATTAGAATCCACAACATTAGTGTTTCCATGACCCCTTCCTTACCACTGAGTCATCAAACAATTTTATAAGGGATTCACAAGTGATATATAATTTTCTAATATAAATATAGAGTCTACAAAAAAGTTATTGAATTATTTGAACCCACGAACCCCCACTTAGCTTACCATTGAGTCGTCAATCAATTTTATGAGGGATTCACAAGTTATACATAATTTTTTGATGCCAATATAGCGTCCATGATAAAGTTATTGAATTCGTCTGAACCCACGAACCCCCACTTAGCTCTGTCTTTGAGTGTAATTTAATATTGAACCTAATAATATAATGAGTAGGTCATAAGGTACTAATTTTATTGGACCTCGGAAGAGTTGGACTTGTTAGTATTGCACATATGACATCGATAGGGTTGAATATAAGGTGCATCCAATGATTTGGCCTAGTGGTCAATAAAGTGGGTTGAGAATCATGAGATTTCAAGTTTAAATTCTGGCGGAGAGAAAATTAGTAGGTGATTTATTCTCATATGCCTATTTGTGTTTGGACAAATATCATTGATATATATTGTGAGAGTGTTGTTCGCAATTAAGAATTGACTATAATGTGCATAATAAGGAAAGATAGGATTAGAAAAGAAACTATTTGAGATAATGTGTATCTGCAATAAACAAGATGAGTGATGTGACACTAAGATAGTTTGGACATACGAAGAATTGACACTTCTAAAAGTGAGTTGTGAACATTAGGATACTTAAATGAATATATGTGCATATTAGGAGAGATAGGATCAAAAAAGAAACTATTCGGGACAAGGTAGAGAGAGTGGTCTTGCAATGGACAAAATGAGTGAAACGACACTAAGATGGTTTGGACATGTGAGGAATAAATATTCCAATCAAAAGGTGTGGTAGACAAAACAAAGTCTTGGATTGAGGTTATTAGACATGATATGACACACATGTGGCTTATCAAATACATGATCCTAGATATAAAGATATAGAGGTTGATGATTAAGATTTAAGATTGAAGATTGAAGATTAGTATGTAGTTGAGGTTTGTTTGGTTCCCCGATCGTTATTAGTATTGTTACTCTCCTCCTGGTTTTATTATTTGGTTTTTATGTTACCCGTTGTTTACTATGCTTCAATTATCGTACATTTTGTTATTGTTGCTTACTTTTTTCTTAATTGTTTTCAACACATCTTCGTTATTATATTTGTTTTACTTTTTTTGATATATTTAACTTGAGTCGAGGATCTATTGAATCTGCATATTTATCAAGATAGAGGCAAAGATTCATACACGCCCTCATTTCAAAACCTCATTATGGAATAACTAAATGGGGGGTCGTTTGATAGGGTGTATAAGAATAATGTTAAATAGAGTGTATTAGTGATGTTTGCATTAGTTATGTCGAGATTATTTTTTATGCATAGTTTGGTTTTGGTGTATTAAAAAATAACATGCATTCCATAATTTTTTAAAAAAAATTATTTACAAAGATACCCTCCACTTAAAAAATGTAAAAGAAAGTTTTGAGAGGAAATTTGGTCTCTATATGTTAATGCATGCATACTAATACTATGGATTTTCATGTATTAGCAATACACACTTAAGGGTCGTTTGGTAGAGTGTACTAAAAAAAATAATGTATGTATGTATTAGCCTTGTGTAGTACTAGTACATTGTTTGGTACTCTTCATTAGTTATATACTTTATTATGTATTGAGGTGTGTATTGCTAATACCATAAATTTCTAGGTATTAGCAATACAATGGTTTTAACGCATGCATTAACTTAATTAAAGACCCAATTAATCCTCAATACCTTTTTTTTTATATCTTTTCCATCATAATAGTGAAGGGTATCTTAGTAAATAATTTTTTTAATGCAATGCATTCTATTTTTAATGTATCAAACCAAACAATGCATAACAATAATATATGTATTATTAATGCAAGCATTACTAATACATGCATTGCTAATGCAAGCATTATTAATACACTCTATTTAGCATTATTTTTATACAATCTACCAAACGACTCCTTAATACATTAGAGTGTATAACTAATGCAGACAATAACTGTACATAGCATGAAAAAGTGTATCAAACAAATATTACTAATACATAAAGCTAATGCATGCAGAAGTGTATCAAATAAGATATATTACTAATACACAAAACTAATGTATGCATTATTTTTGCGAATGCACTACCATATGACCCTCAACCCGGTGCAATTGAATTCTCCGTGAAGATGTGGAGTACCAACGGCTAGACGGTAAGACCCCATGCACCTTAACTATAGCTTCGCAGTGACAATCTTAATCGAATATGTAGGATAAGTGGGGAGGTGGTGACACACAACGACCAATCCTGAAAGACCATTCTTTCATCTAAGGATGCCTAATCGTCGCACCGATCATTTGAGGGGAGGCGGGACACTGCGAGGTGGGTAGTTTATTTGGGGCAGATACCTCCTAAAGAGTAACGGAGGTGTGCGAAGGTAGGCTCAAGCTAAGATTCTGCTCATGAGCTTAATGGTACAAGTCTGACTGTGAGACTGGTCGAACTGAGACGAAAGTCGGCCATAGTGAAAGTATATTGTCGTTGTTGCTGCGTGTACGTCTTAGTTTTAGTGCACTATATTGATTTTCAAGAAATCAAGAATGACCAATTTTAGAGCAATAATTCAATTGATGCTTCAAACTTTGCAGACACGCAGGGTCGTTTAGTTTGAAGACATCTTAGGATAAGATTAGTTATGTTAGAATTTATCTTAGTATTTTTAGTAAATATTTGGTTTGTTATATTAAAAATAATATGGATTGAGTAATTTTTAAAAAAATATCTTCCATAAGAGTAAAATGTGTAAAAATAATATATAAAAAGGGTTTAAAGGGATATTATGTCATTTTAACTTATTTTATCCTAAGATAAGTTATTTCAGGACTATTATTCCATTTGGAAACAGAAATAACTTATTTCAATACTAATTATTAATCCTAAAATAAGATATCACAAACTTTGTAACCAAACAAGAGATTAATGGATACTAAAAATTTATCTCACCAAATGTCTCCACACTATTTTACGACAGAATAACTACAGTACTCTATAATATAGTTTTTGTCAAAACCCTGAATGAATGTGATCTAATAGTTGTCGAATTCATAATGTTAATCTAAAACATGGCGCATTTATTGTTGTTTCTTTAATAAAAAATGATGATATAGTTACGAGTAGTATAATATGTGACTCAATAAAACCACTATACAACTAGACTGTTTTTGCCTAATCTAAAGCAACGGTAATATGCAGATAAAAATTTACTCATATTCGGTGTTGACCCTTAGTTAATAAATCCATACACGTTTGTACATAAGCTTTTAGTGCCTCATCAAATCACTTAATTATAATAAAATACATTTGATTTGGTATAAACACTCTCTGCTTTAGTTTCACATTTTTCTATCTAGAAATTATTTACTACCAATCAAATTCTAAATACCTGTTAGGAAACCTATTGCTGCTACCTTGCTTGGTTCCACACCCCATTGTTTTATTTAAAGTCTAACATGTACTAGTGGTTCATAATTCCTTAAAGAGTACTATAGAAAGTATTTGCATGAAATTTCACATTATATTCCATTATGCAATCAAATGCGAAGGTTACGAGTCTTTGTATAGGAGAAGCTGCCTTTATTGCAGGAAAAGTATGATATAAAAAAGAATGTTCCTTTTAACATTTACTTTTCTACAGGCAACAATGGTGAAGAGGGCCTAAGCTGCAAGAAATATGTATCAAAATTGTCCTTGGCCTAACACCTAAAAGAACACCCAAGGACGATAGCAACAACCAAATACTAACTGCTACTGCTGCTAAAGAAAGTACTGCTATTTCTCTAAACTATGTATGTGAGCTGCTCCAAATCTGTGACAACTTGGTTGATTGCATGAATGACCATCTTCTTTATCTGTTACACCAGAGGACGAATCAAGTCAGTAAGAAATGGAGGCTAGGCTTAACGTAGCCAGATTAAAATAAAGCATTTTTGATATGGCACCTCTAGTTTGTCTTCTCTGGCCTTGTGGCCTTTCGGCAATGTCCTGAACTCAGCTGTGAGGCGGAAACATTCTCGAATGTTTTCAGGAGAAACAAAATCAGCAGCAACTTTGGTACACGACTGGAAAGTTGAAAACAGTTGGTTGGTTACTTGATGAACTTGATCATCTGGATTTTCATGGATTATATAAGTATGATTCTTACCTTGAGATTCCGCACTTGGTGAGGGCATCCTGCAGGAATGAAAACTGCCTCTCCAAGTCTTTGCTCGAATGTCCAAGGTTCAATCCCTAAAATGGTAAGCATCCACATTTTGAGTTTATTAAATAAATGTGATCCTTGTTCTTAAGGAAAGATAACGAACAAGGTAAATTACTTACCGAATTCTTCCTTCAGTTTTCTCTTGTGCTCCAAAGTTAAGTAGAAGCTCTGGTCATGGATTGGATGAAAAACCTGATCAACCGGACAACAGAAAGTGTGCCTAAATTCCTTTGCATGCTTTAAAAGATACTCATTCAACTTGGATACGTCTTCCCTTCTGAAAATGTCCCACAAGGCACCTCCAGTTGTCTCTGAATCATCAGAGGTTTTCTCCTCCCTTCTAATATCACTAGACATCTTCATAGGATATTCATCAGCCTCACATTTGAGGTGCTCTCTTTCATCTTGAGCTCTATGCCTCTGTTTCACTATTTCAATTGCAGACTGCTGCTCATCAGTTATAGCCATCTCTGCTGTGTGTGTCAAAATATTTATCTGACCAATTCAAAATTTTAAAATATTAGCTTGTCATGAAATAAGCCTGAAAAATTAATGGTTGCAATCTTAGCAGGTAATGCATCATGGACAGAATACAGAACTGGGAAAAGCAATAAACTGCTATCAAGGTGAGAATAAACATAAAACTAGATTGTGGCATGTGGATTAATTTACCTGGAATGTGACAATTGTCAAACATATTGTATAGGACTGGCCATGAGGTTTATGAGTCTCACTAGACAACACAAGGCAGAAGAGACTGGATGAATGTGGTTCTATATGTTTGGAATAAAATGTTAGTTTTTCGCCCATTTTGGAATTTTCATACAATTGAGATACTTTCTTACCAAGGTCCTTGTTGATTTGGTTATAGTTTTTGGATGTGAGCTTAAGGTAATATCCTCCAAATTGTGATTTCAAGTATTAACCAGGGCTATTCACAAGCAACACATATATTAAGGAGGTGGCATTGACGTGAGAATAAAGTGAAGAAATCAAATGAATGAACTACAATAGTCCCGTAGAAATCATACCGCATCTGACATATCACAGTGAAGCTTTGTCACTGAATCCCCTCTCCCAAGTTCCTTGGTGACGCCATACGCGATGTATGTCTTTGGACCCAAATCTGGTTTTATGACTCCAGCCGGTAATTTAACAGCAAGATTCAGAATCCCTATCCTTGGATCTGTGTACTCTTGGAATGGTAATGCACTGATGAATTCATCGCAGTGCCGAGGCAAGAGATTCTCAAACTTGTCAGATGGTGGCCAATCTTTAAGTTTGAGCATTTCAGGCCAAAGATTTTCATACCTTCTGCCTTCTGTATAACCTTTAAAAAACTTTCGAGTATTGATCGGAACCTGCAAAAGTTTTATGTAATTTGATGCTTAGCACAATGGCAGATGGCATATTTTAATAACACCATGAAGCTATTCAAGAAGCAACTGCTATAATACGAGAAAAAAGTTATATTTAACAAAAGGATACTAGAAGCAAAAAAACCCATTAGGAAACATGCTAACTACCAAGTGAATGGGGAGAGGGATGATGAATAAGTGGAATGTGATAGGTACTAAGCTTGTGGACAAGGTAGAAAATGCAGATGAATGAGAAAAAACCTGACAATCAGCCAGACAGTCAATAGCTTTCACTTCTGACATACTTGTAAGGATCTTTGAATCAGTGCCCTCACATAATGCACGCCACATAACCATTGGTTCCCAGCTTAAACCACTTGTATGTGCAAGAACATTTTGTACAATCACTGGTTCACCCTTGGCCCAGTGCCTACGAAAGTGTAAAAGTGCATCATCCTCCATTGCGTCCTTTGCAGTAGGGAAATACAAGTAGTTATCATCAGAACCAACTCTTGAAGCCGCTCTGTGTAACAGTTCAGGATCATCCATTCTACAAATTGGCTGGGAAATCATCTCGGAAAAATTGCACTGAATCAGAATCCTTTCTGCTTTTGCCTCCAAGGTTGATATCCAGTTTTTCGGTAGCAGATGCTTGAGCTCTAATACAAAATTTCCACATCCACCAATTGCTACAGGAGCACACATGATATTACCATCATAATTAGCAACCCAAGTAATTGGTTTGTTCTGGTCCTGTGGAATTTCCATATCATCAGAACTTTCAGGCTCTGCATCTCCACCGTGCATGTAATCATAACCTACATTTGGATATTGGACAACTGCTTTTTTACTATTTCCTGGAAACTTTCCTTCCCGAAGCTCTTGGCAGCAACTTATACATAGCTCAAATGAGCAATCTGGGCAGCTTCGATGAAGATCGACTATTGAAGTTGAACAGTTGTTGCTGCTCCAAGGCCAAGGAATCAATAAGAATAAACCCTCTAAAAATAATGTATAGTTGAAAGAAGAAAAAAACAAGAGAAACAAGAGAGGATATATTACCAGTAAACTCGCTCCTCATTGTGACAAAGTGATTGTTCAATATCAACTGAAGATGAAGATACCCCTGTAATAAAAACAGTGAACAATGTAAAAAAGGTTTTATCGGAGTCAATGTCTTGTTTTTAAAACTTAGATGCATACCACGAATAGAAGACTCTGTCTCTATCTCCTGAATTTGTTCCTGATGAATTTCTTTCAGAAAGGGAAGGAGCTTGATAATCAAATACTGCAAATGCTTGATCTTTTCACGATCAGTGAGATCCCTTCTTGATGTCTTCAAGGAAAGATATATTTAACAGTAATTAGGAAACAAAAGCTACAAGCTCATTTTGTTTGATTAAAAGGAAAGAAAAGGCAAACCTTAAGCATGCCACTTGAGTGTAAGCACCAGTTGCAGTTACATTTTCCACGACAATATGGGCAAGCCTCTGAGACTTCCTCTTCTTCCAATTCAGGATACCTGCTCGCCAAAAATAAATAGCAGGAAGCTTAAAATGAGGTTAAAACTCCATTCGACACTAAAAGAGAATCACTAAGCATTTGGACAGCAAGATAAGAGATGCACATTGGAGGTTTACCATTCCCTGATGCACTTGATACAGTAAAATTTCTCTTTACACTTAGTGCAAGGAACAACAGTTCTTCTATCACTTCTTCTACATTGATGACAATTTACCTGCATAGGATAAAATAAATAAGTCATCGTCTAAAAGAAATAAGTAAAACAGAGTAGAAATGCCATTTAAAGTGAAAGATGATAAAAAGAGCTTGACCTTCACGTTTTTAGATCTATCTATTCCATTTCTCGAAATTGTTGAACCAGAAGACGATGAGGAGGAAGGCAATGAACTACAAGCAGATAACTTCACTGAATTATTTATTATCTCTCTCAGACTATCTTTAGGTTTTGATTCATGTGAAACTTCACTTCTCTGACTTCTTGTGTTACTTGGTGTATGATGCCAAGCCTCATACTCCTCAGTATCATCTTCCCACTCATCAACATGGTAATCATGATCATATCTCTTGACTGATGCAGCAGCACGTCTTACTGATGTCCTTTTATTCTCTGCATCTTTCTCATAAATTCTCTGTTTCTTTTTTCCATCCTTGGAAAAATTTGACTTTTCCTTGTACATATTCCAGTCATCATCATTTTCATCCATTTTAGCCATTGTACTATCTTCTCGAGGACTCTTCTTCTTGCTTGACGTTCCTAGACATTGTTCTCCATTTAATTTAGCAGGTGCCCAGGAAGGAAATGAACTACAAACAGGTAACTTCCCTGAATTTTTTATTATATTTTTCAGACTATTTTTTGGTTTCGACTCAGGTGAAACATCACTTCCCTGGTTTCTTGCGTTACTTGGTATATGATGTCCATCACTTAGAGGGAAAACCTCATACTCATCAGTATCATCTTCCCACTCACCAATATAGTAATCATTACCGTATCTCTTGAATGATGCAGTAGCACGTCGTACAGATATCCTTCTATTCTCGGCATCTTTTTCATGAATTCCCTGCTTCTTTTTTCCATCCTTGGACAAACTTGGCTTTTCCTTCCACTCATCTTCACTTGTACTCTCTCCTTGAGGAATCTTCTTCTTGTTTGACGTTCCTAGACATTGTTCTCCATTTAATATAGCAGGCACCCGCCTTTTATTCTCTGAGCCTTGAATTTCACGAGTCCCTGGCATTTTCTTTCCAACCTTGGGTAAAGTTGGTTTTTTCTTGCACACACCCTGCTTTTCTTCACTTCCAAATTCCACCTTGTTCATTGTATTATCTCCTTTATGAGTCATCTTCTTTCTTGAAGTTCCTGGAGGTTGTTCTAGATTTACTTTATCAGGCATCCTTTTTGTCTGTGAATTTCCTCTCAGAAGAACGCTTTTTGTGGCGGTAGATAGTTTGAGCCTGTCCTTGCACTGGGAAGGCTCATCTTTCTCTTCATCATTCCCTTTATTTCTCATAGGTCCACTTCTATTAATTTTTCCCTTGGTCCAAGTTCTCAAAGGCTTCTCTGAATATCTTAAATTATTCAGTGCTTCCTTAAGTGGCATCTGAAAGTTTGTTAAGGATCCTGGAAAATACTCTTCATCCTCTTCCTGTTCCTCTTCCTCTTCACTCTCCTCTTCTTCATCATCACCCACCAATTCATCCCAAATTTGAGAACTTAATTTCTTCTCTGCTGAACAATGATACCCCTTGGATGTGATTCTGCTATGTGAACCTTCAGATTCCTTTACAGTCATTTTTTCCTTAGCTACCTTCTTGGTTCTCAGATGTGATTTAACCATGTTCCTCTTAGGCTTTTCCGCTGTTTTTACTTTCTCTGCCAATCCACCCGATAAAAGTGCATCTTCCTTCCTGATTGCAACATTCGCGTGCTCTGACACAGTTCTTTTGCCACGGGAGGCGCCAGGCTCAGAACAAAGCTTTGGTTTCTTATTAGGTAACTCTATAACATTGAGCACCGATGCTGCTGCATTGTCCTTTTCAAGCTCTTCTTCATCACGGTTTAGGATAAACTTTCTCTTCCTAAACACCCTAGACTGATTTCTCATTCCCGGTGTGTCTTGATTCTGACTGCTCAATGGCCCTTGTTTCGCAACTAATGTTGCCATCTTCTACTCCCAACACAACTGAAAAAAGGAACTTAATAAGCAAAAGTACATATATTTCATAATTATACCAACATTAAAGTCCTAATCTTCAGGATAAATGACAGTGCAACAATTTTATAAACAAATAATGAATCTTAAATGCAAAAACCTATCAATCAACCATCAGCAAGCAGATTAAAGTTCTAATGCAAAAACAAAAGACACTAAAATGTAATTATATCAAACTAAAATCAACTAATCTACTGTTTATACTCATTTAAAAGCTACAGAAAAAAAAAACAGATTAATGAATAAAATTTCCAGCATAAACCGGGGTGAAACAAAGTCAACATAACCGGGTCAACAGTCATGCCCTCAAACCTATTCACCATAAATAATTATTTTTACAAGAAAAAGAAGAAGATGAAATTCTGAATCAATCCAATCCCTAATTCTTACATCAATTTATCGGCATTTCAATCTAAAACGAACAACCATTTAATCCTTAGAATCTATATCCCAATCATTCAATTCCCAATACTCATACGAAAATTCACAAGAAAACATAAAAAAAATTAACAGAAATTGACTGAAACCCAAGATCAGATATATATAAAAAGCAATGGAAAATTCCAATTGAACTCACCTGATCAATGGATCAGTTGAAACAGCTCCGATTGAATTCCCATAATTCTAATTCATCATGCAGTGAATTTCAAGAATTGAAATTAAAAAGAAAATGAATGGAGTGAAGAAAAGGAAAGAAAATCGATTTTTCGATTTAAGGGAAAACGGAGAAATTGAGAAAAGGAAGAAGGCGCAACAAAACCATGTAGAGGGAAACAAAACAGTGGGTGATACTGTCTCTACTTTTTTTTTCTTATTAGGACTTGGATTTTGTAGCAGTAAATCTTTGGGTCTTTTTGGGAAATTGTGAATTTTTAAGAATTATCCTAATTTGTATATACCACTTTTTAAAAAATAATACTACTATTAGCAGTTTATAGCT